ACCTACTGTACCCACCCTGCTTCTGCTCACAGCCCTCTTCAGTGTGTTGAGACCTGGCCCAAGGGTTCTGCCTTCCAGACTTTGCCCAGTCTCTGTTCCACTGTCCCGTGGGAACCCAAAAGAGGAAGGGCTCTTGTTCTGGAGAGTCTTGCTTCTGATGTGAAATGGACGGGTGGGGACACTCCTTCCAGCTCAAAGGGAATATAAACTTGCTTCCAGGGTCAGCTGAAATAGAGGCAGTTGGCCCCATTCTCATTAAGCTACCCGCCATCTAGCAGGTTGTGCCTGAGAGAGTGAGGGTCAGCTATGTTGGTTTCCTCGCAAAGTCCCATAGCATCAGTACTAGAACTGAGAGTCGGTGAAGGCCTGCCTGGCAGGCAGCTAGGTGCTGCTAGCCACACTAGCTCTGGGTCCAGCCTACATTGTTAAGCTGTGGCATGTTAGAAAAAGAGTTTGGAAACTTTATAAATGTTGGGGTTTCTGGGTTATTGAATCCCTAGGTTACTGTTTTCCTGTGTAGGGCTCACCTCCACAGCACACAAGGATCCTGAGAGAGACTCAAGGATCAGCACATTCCTCCGAAATATTACAATAGACAACAGATGCCATGTATAGCACACTTCTAGTCATGGCAAGGTTCGGCACAGCTACTCTGGGCAGAGGAATTCCTCGGTATGCTGAGGGTTAAGCAGAAAGCCCTTTGGGTTCCTCCTCCTCCTTCCTCAGACTCCTATCTCCCTTGCCTTTGATTTTTTGTTTTCTTTTCTTTTCTTTTCTTTCTTTTTTTTTTTTTTTTTTTTCCATTAGGCCCACTATCTTCCCTTAGGGAGCCTTCAGGGATCCAGGCATTCTTTGCTAATGGAGGGTCATAGTGTCTCAAGGTTATCACTTCTTACTCAACAGAACTAGAGGGGCCAAGGAGAGGAGAGCTCCGCTGAGTGTGGGCTCAACTTTAAACGTCCCTATGAAATTGTTTTTCTAAACCAAATCCTTGATATGAGCTTGTTTTCTTGTTGTTGACCTCATTCTCCTAAAAGCTGAGCCCAGCAGAAATCAGGGGGAAACAATTAATGAAAGGTACTAGTGAGCACGGTCCCAGAACTCCAGGTTTGACTGGACTGTGATTATTATCATGAGACTCTATACCTTATTTGGAATAACATATACCCCAGGTCTACATATTCCATTCTGGAAGCCATCTGGCTGGATTAAGATTTCCTACTTCCTAGACAGAGATAGCTTTCTTTGAGGACTGCTTGACTGCCTTTTGAAATGATGTGGGTGAGCACAGCTCTCTTATAAAACCCTTTTGAACAGTTTGGATATTCTTCCAGTTCCCCGTGGCTACTCTCCCCTGCTTGAAGTGTCAGAAAAGCCGACTGTGCCCACAGAGCTCAAAGCTGGCCTGTAGACCTCTCTAAAAGTAGCACAGCTGGCATCCTAGGAGCACTTCTTTTGCACCACCACCCCCACCCTTCCTTCCTCCTCATCATTCTCTAGCATCTCTAACCCATCAGCCAACTGTCTTGACTCAGTCATTGAAGACTCTATTCATTCAACAAACCTACTCCCTCATTCACTGGTAAGTGTACTAGTAACAAACTTGGTCTAGAGGTCAGAAAGACCTGGGCTTGAGTCCCAGCGCTGCAGCTTATTAGCTCTATTACCTTGGGCAAGGCAGCCTTTCAGACCTTCAGTTTCTGCATCTATAAAGTGATGGTGACAGTGCTTCCAACACAGGGCTCGTTGTGTAGCCAGCACAGTGTCTGTCCATAGCCATTATTGTCAGTAGGTCTCACACTCAGCTGCTGTTTCTTTTTTAATTGAAGTGTACTTAATGAACAATTCAAATGCAGATTTGCCGGTAAACTTAACCCCTTTCCCCTTCCCTCCCTAAATTCCCTGGATTTCTCTGCTTCTGTCACCACAGACAGGAGTCCTCATAGAGGGAGCCCTTTCATTTCTGTTTTGTGCTATTTCTCTGCCAATGTTTTCCGCTTGCCAATCCAGTTTATGTATCTTTTCCATTTTCTTATCATCATCATTTTCTTCTCATCACTCTTTGTAATCTAGGAGTAGGTAGCAATTGTTTAGCAAAAAGTAACAAGCCAATGATAGTCAACTCAGAGACACTTCCTGGACCAAAGGAGCTCTATGTTGCACAGAGAGTAGATGAATATATCAGACAATTCCAGCATCAATTAAGTTATGGATTTAAGAAGGGTTTTCTTCCCTCAGCTAATGTTCTTGATGACCTCTAAGTATAGCCTGTACTTTGTTCTGTCTGTTTAGTGCAAACACTGTTGCAAGAGCCTGTATCCTAAAGTTAACAGACTGTCCTGAGATTGGGATAAAGAAAAACACCATCTTGGGCTAGTAAAGTAAGTTTGCTTGGATTGTTTTTATTGGTCAGCCCTTTGCAAATGTGAGTGTTGTGTGGATCCCCGTATCGCAACCAAAAATGTTAGCTGTTTGGTGGTGTAACTGCACCATAGGAAATCAAGGCCTTCAGACAGCGCTTGGCTGGGGCCTTGGCCAGGGTTTTGGTGTCAGGCACCTGTTTGAGAGAAATATCCTGAAGCAAATAATTATTACCTTCTTTGCTGATAAGAGGCCCCAGTACTTTTCCAATAGCATGCTTGCATTAGGATATTTCTTTGGACTACAGCCTGTGGAGCACTGATTCCTGGGTACTGGCCTTAACTTCATCCAAACTATTGTATATGTGGTGGAACCCAATGTTCTCCTTATGGTAATAAGTTGGTGTAAATAATACACCTAATTGCATCACCTCTCCCTTTCCCTGCCATTTGCTCTTTCTGGCTGCAATTCTGATTATGTCCACCAGGTGGCCTCCTCACTTAGGAAGGAGTAGAAGAAAAGCACTTCAAGCCTCTGATGTTTGTTTTTTTTCTTTTGTTTGTTCTTAAGAGTGAGGTTGAAAAGAATGAAAATATATTTTGATGTAACTCTTACTAGGCAACAGTCGTCTCTTTTTCTTTGTGGTTTGGAGTCTGTTTTTTTTTTTTTTTCCCCTGAAGTACCTTCTCTTGTGTATGGCTAGACCCAAAACAAGGCAGGTGTTTTCCTGGGATGATTTATATATATAGCCTTAGTTCTAGTTTTGTCGTCATTCATTTTTTTATACGAAAGTAAGAACATTTAAAAAAAAAAGGAATATGAGATCCTGCATAATGCCAAATATACTTCATTGCAGAGTAAGAGGGTGGAGACCAAAGAGAAAAAGATGGGCAATTGTGTAGTCACTCCAGTGCCCATTCCCATACCCTGTCCCCTGTCCACCTCTTCTGTCACCCACCTAGCTGCTCCTGTCTGCATGTTCACCCTCTTGCCCAAGTTCCTGGACACCCTCATCTCCGTACACATGATGCACAGATTAGAGCACACCTGTGCATGTGACAGATACACATCACAGAACTGTGCATGTGTCAGCACACAGACACTCCCACTCCTCTATGTTCAAAGGACCAGGTGAGTGGATGCCTACTGGGGTTTGGGGCAAGCTGCTGGGTCAGCTGGTTTAGGGAGGGATAGTCCGGTTGGAGAGAGAGTGAACATGGAGGTGGCAAAGTATGTGTGCAGGGGAGGGGCTGCAAGGGCAGTGAGCAGGAAAAAGGTGAGGCTCTTTACGCTGAGGGCGGGGGTCCAGAGAGCATGACATCTGAGAGCATTGAAAAACCACCCGAGGTGTGTGCTGGCTGGTGCCTGAAGAGCTTTTAAAAACCTAACCTATCCCTTACTGAATGCTTTCTATCTCCTGTTAGGGCATTTGTACTTGTTATTTCTCTAGAAATCAGCTCCAGTTTGGTCTTCGCCAATCTCCAAAGCCCTCTTTGGAGATGCCAGTTGGCACAAGAAAGTGCTGAACTGTTTACAGTCCCAGCCTAAGGTTCAGGGAGGGGATGTGGTTAACTGGGCCACAAAGCCCGGTACAGGACTCATTTGCATGGCCCCTGACGCCATGTGACGCAGCTGGCTCCTCCTATATAAAGAAGCAGGAGCCGAAATATCTCTGAGTCTGGGTTGGACTGGCGGCCTTGGAGTTTGTGACACATTAAGTGACACCCCTCGAGTCACTTCCCTCTGACTCCAGCTGGAACGCCTGCCTACCTTTGGGTCCGCTCTGCAGCCTTCGCCCCCCTGCTAGCCTCAGAGCCAGACTTCAGCGGCACAGAGCCCAGTCCACCCAGCCCAGCCGGCAGCGCAGCCAGAGCTCCCCGGCAGCCTGAGCCATGAACACCGAAATGTATCAGACCCCAATGGAGGTAGCGGTCTATCAGCTGCACAATTTCTCCATCTCCTTCTTTTCTTCCCTGCTTGGAGGGGATGTGGTTTCCGTTAAGCTGGATAACAGGTAACCACTGGTCTCTGCCTCTGTGTAGAGATAAGCTAAGCCAGGGTGCTGGGGGGAGGGGGGACTGGGTTCTCCAGCCAGATCTCCGAGCAAGCGAGCCCTGCGCCGCTGCAGCCCTGCGCCGCTGCCGCTGGTCCGGTCCCCGTGGTGCAGCATCCTGGGACGGGCAGGGCTGGGCAGGGCTGGGCAGGGGTCTGTCTGCCTGCCCCTGCGCCTCTGGGGAGAAGGCGGAAAGCTTTCGAGCTGAGGAGGTATTCCTAGCTAGCTTCAGAGCCGGGTAGGTTTGCCGGGGAACGTTCTAGGCCTCCGCAGGGGACTCCCTGGGCCGCGTGCCCCCATTGTTTGCAAATCGCCTGAGCAGGCCATGCGGCCCGTGCACCCCCCCTGCCACTGGTGTCGATTGGAACTCAAATCAGGGCGGCAGTGGCGCGGAGCCAGCCTGGGTAGGAGGTGCAGTTTCCTGCAGGCACCAGGGAGGGACCTGTGGACAAACTGCCTGGAACTCTGTGCCAGGGAGGCAGGAAAGAGGAGGGACTGGGTTAGATGGAGGACTTTGGCCATAGCCAAGGGTACTTAGAGTGGAACCAAATGTGTAACGGGTCGCTTTGCTTTTTTGTCTTGGCAGTGCCTCTGGAGCCAGTGTGGTGGCCATAGACAACAAAATCGAGCAGGCCATGGTGAGTGGCATCGCTGCGTCATTCTCATCCCTAGACCTATCTGCTGCTTATGTAACTCCAGGCAGGATGAGGGGGTGGGCGTCACAGCCTTTGGTCAAAAAGTCTGAGGAAGCTGATAGCCTCCTTCCTATCCCCCCTGCAGGCCTTAGGGAGAGTCCAATTAGAATGGCACTTTTTAGAACATTTAGAGTCTGCCCTTGCTAGGCTCTTTCCTTTCCTCCTCCTTTTTCCTTCCCAGAGCTTCGTAGCAGCCTCTGGCTCCCTCCTGGGCATGTTGCAGAGCAGGGAGCTCAGACCCTTACATTCCTCTGTGTCCTGCAGTTGGCACAGAAGCAGAGCTCATTGGATGCAACCGCACTGCAGTGCCTCTGCAGAGCCTGGGCTGGGGTCAGGAGTTGGGAGGAAATGAGAAGCGAAGTACCCTAACCCTTTCCCTCTCTTTTGACCAGGTAGAGGACTTACTCCACCCAGCAGCCAAAAATGGCTGCAGGAGGTTAGGGCTTCCAGCAGTTAGGAGACACTTAATTGTGCCTTGGAGCCTAATGACACAGTTCCCTACTCCCAGTGCAGTCATCAAATTCAGAGAGGATGCAGCAATCTCTGTACCTCCACCAGGACCAGTATCTTGTGTCCTGTCTGGCCAGGCTTCAGGACAACTCTGATTCAGTGCGTTGGGTCATATGGTGGGCAGGAGACCCCAAAAGAGCCAATTTTATTCTCTTCTTGAAGACTTGTAAAGCAACCAAACAGGATGGGGCCCATTGCAGCCTTCCCAGCCCACCCTGGATCTAGGGCAGCAGCAGGTCCTTATGTGGAAAAGGGAAATAGCAAACCTACAGCCAGCAGAAGTCTTGCCCCAAAAGGCCCTGAGCAGTCAACTTTGAATGTCATTAGACACAAAGCATAGGGAAACCTCTCATGTGAAAGCTGGGCTTCCAACTCTATCTAGCATGGCCCAAAGCATGCAGGTCTTCAGAATGAGGGTTCAGGTGCTTCAGAGAACAGTACATGAGGATTTGGGGTGCAGGGCTACATGTTGATGGAAGACTGAAGAGTGGTGGCAAGAGGGATGACCCAGGCAGTGAAGGTGCTGCCACTAACGATTGGCTTTATGGGGATTTCTTCTGTGGCAGGATCTAGTGAAAAATCATCTAATGTATGCTGTGAGAGAGGAAGTGGAGGTCCTGAAGGAGCAGATCCGAGAACTTGTGGAGAAGAATTCCCAGCTGGAGCGTGAGAATACCCTCTTGAAGACCCTAGCAAGCCCAGAGCAGCTGGAGAAGTTCCAGTCTCGTCTGAGCCCAGAAGAGTCAGCTCCTGAATCTCCACAAGCGCCTGAGGCCCCTGGTGGTTCTGCGGTGTAAGTGGCTCTGTCCTTGGGGTGGGCAGAGCCACTAAACTTGTTCTACCTAGTTCTTTCCAGTTTGTTTTTGGCTCCCCAAGCGTCATCTCATGTGGAGAACTTTACACCTAGCATAGCTGGTGCCAAGAGATGTCCTAAGGACATGGCCACCTGGGTCTACTCCAGTGACAGACCCCTGACAAAAGAGTAGGTCTCTGGAGGCTGAGTTGCATGGGGCCTAGGAACCCCAAGTCAGTGAGCCTCTAATGCTGTCGTGCCCTGGGGGCTCTCAGGGCCTGAGCAACCTACTACAACTGGCAAGGGAGAAAGGTTGTTTGAGCTGCGGTGCCAGTTTGCTACAGAATGATTAAGGGGTCTGTTTTTCATTTCCATGGACATCTTCAACAGCTTCACCTGACAATAACTGTTCCTATGAAGAAGCCACTTGTGTTTTAAGCAAAGGCAGCCTCTCTTCTCCTCTGCTTTGTGAAGGCAGGGGACACAGATGGGAGAGATTGAGCCAAGTCAGCCTTCTGTTGGTTAATATGGCATAATGCATGGCTTTGTGCACAGCCCGGTGTGGGATTACAGCTTTGGGATGACTGCTTACAAAGTTCTGTTTGGTTAGTATTGGCATAGTTTTTCTATATAGCCATAAATGCATATATATGCCCATAGGGCTAGTCTATATCTTAGTGTAGCGATGTATATGTGTATACATACATCTACATGTTGAAGGGCCTAACCAGCTTTGGGAGTATTGACTGGTCCCCTATGTCTTAAGGGTAATTCTTTGACTGTGTTCATTTATCAAGGTGATCCAGTTTGTCCTTTAGGTTAAGACTCAAGAGTTAAGGCAGGGAGAGGGGGGCCAGCCTCTGAATGCAGCCACAGATGCCTTGCTGCTGCAACCCTTTCCCCATCTGTCCACTGAAGATCTGCGAAGTTCTCTTTTGAATGCCAAACCCACCATTCACTGGTGCTGACTACATAGAATGGGGTGGAGAGAAGATCAGCTTGGACTTCGCAGTGTTGTTTGAAAACTTTTATTTTATTTTTTTAATACTTTTGGAAAACTTTAGAGTGAGCAGAACGATGGTGTCCTGCTGCAGGCAAGGGATGGACAAGAGAATGGCTTTGATCCAATGGGATCTGCCCAGGGAGCTTGTCTCTAAGGGGTTCTGTGACAGTGAATACTTTCCACTTTCTGACACCTTATCCTGATGAATGTCTGCAGGATTTGGATTTTGATTTTTCAAATGTAGCTTGAAATTTCAATAAACTTTGCTCTTTTTTTTTTCTAAAAATAAACTTGGTGTCTGACTGAATATAAATGGGCTGAATGAAAGAGGCTCCTCACCTGGTTGGGAGTGGGAGTAGACAGTTGTTTTTCTGACTCACCCAATGTAATCTGTTGAGCATCTCCTAAGTGCCAGGCCTGTGGCACATCCACACAATACCCATTTGAAGGATATGTTCTTTGGGTAAGGAAGCTGAGACTCAGTGAGTTTAAGTGACTTTCCCAAAGTTACACAGCTGTTAAGTGAACTGGCACTCAAGCCCACAAATCTCCCCCGTGTCCGGCTCCTGCTTTCATATAAGGGCTTCAGAGTGAGTGGCGGGGTGACTACTACCGCACAACCTCCATTTGAGGGAGTGATTTGGGAGAAAGGATATCGTAAGAAGGCCCAAAGAAAAGGGGAGGATATACATGGGAGAAAGCAGAAAGAGAGGAGTCAGATAAATACCAGTGGCCCCCTTTCCTCTTCTGAAAATATCATGAGGATCACTTAATGTATTCTCCTTCATACTGAGCCACATGTGACCCTTGACCTTTGTAAAGGAGCTAAGAGAGCCTTGGTATGTATGTATGAGGTGGCAAAACCACCCCCTCTTCTCTGCTCTCTCCACCACCCCTGCCCAAGGCAAGATGCCCTTAAACCCTGCTGCTCCACTGTCATTGCTTAAAGCTCTCTCACAAAACCTCTGAGTACAGCCACAGATGCCTTGCTGCTAGAACTTTTTCCCCATCTGTCCACTGAAGACCTGCAGGGGCCAGGTCTGAAGCTCCTTTCTATAACTTCCTTTCTCTACCTCTCTTTGGAGTTCATCATCACCCTTTCCCAGCCCCAGATCTCCAGCATCTGGAGTCCTGCCATTTCTATGATTGGCTGTTGATGAGTGTTTAGTGTCTCTTCTACCTCACCCTTGCCTGGACCCTAAGCAATATTCAGAACCCACTGTGTTCACAAGGGAGACCATCACCCCTACTCAAATAACTCTAGCCTATCTTGGCTTCCTGTAGCATAAATTTGTAGATCCTCTTGCCTCTTGAAATTGAACATAACTCCTTGATTTTTATGAGCCACAAGCCTCAAAGTGTCCCCCTTCACACTAATCACTACCCAAATATAATCAAAATTATACGTGTCCTTCTCTGTGAAGGTTACCTACATTGGTCTGTTCTTTTCCAGTCACCGAAACTCTTCTTCAAAATATTGCAAATGCTTGCTTGCTGGCCTCTCAAATTCCAATTTCCCCATCTACTCCTGACCTCTGTACTCATGATGCCAAGTACCTTGTCTACACCTGCCAATTTGGTCATAGCATGAAGATTTCACAGCTTCTGGTACAGATACAAACTTGGAACTGGTGCATTGGCAGCCCCCAGGCAGTCGTCCCCACTGGGACTCCAGCTCTCTCAATCCCCATTTAATTCAAAATGCCTCTCCCTTTCAAAACAAGCAAAGATACTTTTTGAAAATTTAGTTTATCTTGTGTAGATGTCCCCACATCCAGTTCCCAGCTGAACAAAACAAACAGATAAAAAGAGGAAATCCAGAAAATAGCCCAGCAACCTCTCTGGTCATCAAGCCCTTCTCTACAAGAAAGGGGAAAAAACTTGTCCCACAGTCACATAGTGGTAGAGAGAACAACTTTGTTTCCTAGGCAACCTCGCCTAAACAGAGACAAACACTGCAACTTCTGAGGCCAGAGTGGTTACCAGCCTAGATAAGAGGAACTTTGTAGATGTTTGTTAGTCACATATAGGAGCAGTTCTGTGTTGTTGTTCTACAGAAAACCAACTAAGGGTGTGGAGAAGCAAAAGAACAATTTGCTCCTGGAAAGATTTTTGTGGGCTTTGTGATTCTGAACTCAGCTGGTCCTGCTGGACCTAGAACAAGGAAGAGAAGAAAGAGACCCACAGCAGTCATCATCCCCTGCCTGAGCATGCCACGCCTCCATGTGCCCTGCTATCTACTTTTTCATCTGATGTTCAAAACAGCCCTCCCAGCACAGCTACAAGGATCATAAGAGCATAGTTCTGTGCCCAGCCTCTTCAATAGGGAACATTCTGTTTCCTGCCCTTAAAAAAAAGAGGCAGTTATGATTTACCTCCATTTGACAGACAAGAAAACTGTGAGCCTCAGAGCTTAGTGCTACTCTCATGACACCCATATATTCCACCGGGAGTGGTTCCCAACCTTTTTGATGACAAGGGTAATTTTCTTATTTTCTCTTTCTTTCTTTATCTTTCTTTTTCTTGCTTGCTTTTTTTTCTTTCTTTCCTTCTTTCTTTTCCTTCCTTCTTTCCTTTCTTTCTTCCTCTTTCTTTCTTTCTCTCTCTCGCAAGTTTATTTCTTTCATGAGAGAGATAGGCATCTCTAGCAGGGTCCCAATATCATGACCCACCCCTTGCCCCAGCCAGCCCCTAATCATGGGCATATGCATGGCTGGCATACTCAAAGAGGTCTCTGAACTAGAATTGGAATCCTCCCACGTGGAACCACCTCACAGAGTGTCATGTTTTACTGCTGTACCACTCCCATTTTCAATGTTAAAAATATTTTCAGACTTCTCTCAACAGTAGTTGACCTTTCAGCATTGAGAGAGAGAGAGAGAGAGAACATAATGACAAACAGCAACTGTGAATTTGGTGGGGCTTTTAAAGGAATTAATTGTATCTGCCACAAAAGCATCGAAATGGATTTGAAAACTAGAACAGTTATGCATATGTTAGTTAGCTAGATTTAACCATTCCACAATCTCTTTCTAAATATATTTCAAAACATTATGTTATGCATAATAAATACATAGAATTTTTTTAAGGTTTGCTGGAGGGCATGTGTGCTTGCCAGAGAGAGACACAGAGAGAGAGAGACATAGAGAGGGAAATTGAAAAATTATTCCCTTGGGAAATGGCCATGCCATAATCTCTTCTCCTCCATTCTCCTATAGGGATTTTGGGTACACACACACAAACACACAGAGTGTTTTTTATGCCCCTGGGTCTGGGACTCAAACTACTTAGTTGGCCATGTGAGATCCAGCTCTCTTAAATTCCACACCACCTGCTGACCCCAAATACACACAATTTTATCTGTCAGTTGTACGAAAGGGAAAAAAAATCCTAGAGCAGAAATGTGGGGATTGTTTACAGAAAAGATTCCTTGGGTCAGGCTGGTGGACCTGGGACAACCACAAAGGAAGGAGTTCCCCAGAGGCTCCAAGAGGAAAGACAGGGAGATTACATGAGACTGAACTGGTGAAATAGAATTCTATGACTTTTGTGTCTAAAACATTACTGATTTCTTCTAAGTTTTGTCTTCCTGATTTAAGGATTTTGGTTCTCTTTTGAGTTGTTGATAGGTTCAGCAATCTGTTAATTTTTTTAAAATTGAAAAATAAAGTTTTCTCCCTTTCTGACCTCTTACCAATTGGAAAATATTTGTGAGCATTCTTATTATGTGTCAGAATGGTTATTTGCATAAATTGGATAATACAATAGTATCCGTTGCCTTGCATCAGAAATTGAATTCTTATGGGGCTTTTTGCATTAACAGACCAAATTGAGCTCAACCTCATTTATTTTTAGATAAGTTAGTTTATACCTTTCTTTAGTAAAAGGGGGAATGGAGAGAGAAAATATGTTTCAGAAGAAAATTACAGTGCACTTGTCATTAGATTCTAGCTTTGTCCATATTTTTAGTTTAAGATATTTTGTGAATCAATAAAATGTGAAAAAAAGTTTAGTATGGAAGTGAGGGATGAGAAAGGGGAAGGAGAAAACAAGTAAAAGTATGTTTAATTGACAAAAAAATGAGAGGCTATTTGCTGATGATAAGATATAGAGTAATATCTTTGTCTTGACTGACATGCATGGTATTTGTGCTGGAAAAAGAAATGTCATACACTGTAAAGACATGAGATTAAATGTAAATAAATAAATAAATATTTTTTTAAAAAAGAGAAGAAATTAATGGACATAGGTCGTCTCATGCAGAGAAGTTCACTGGAACCGAAATAGTTAATATTTAACCACATCCATTAGATCAGGTAAGGTTTAACAAAGAACTCCATCAGTTAACTATTCTGAGCAGAAATGGCTTCCAGGGAGAAGCTAGCTGGAATGGAAATGATCACAATGATTAGTAATACTAGCTAACTCTTAAATGATACTTACTTTATGTCTGACACTGCTCTAAGCTGATTCATATCTATTGACTTTTCCAATTCTCTCCATAAATATATGAAGTTTGTCCTATTAAATATCTTCATTTTACAGATGAGGAAATGAAGAAACTAAGGCTCAGAGAGATTAAGCAACTTGTTCAAAATCATACAGATAGTGAATGGCAGAGCCTAGATTAGGGAGAGGTGAGAAGAAAGCATTAGAAAACAGAAAGGAGAATTAGAACAATTTTCATATTTTTTTCTATGTAACTAGAAAATTTCCAGGGGTAGTGGGGGCAGCAGGTAGAAAGGTAACTACCTCAAACTAGCAGAGGGACTACTGTAAGGGGGGAAAATGACCAATGAGTCTGGGATGGGTGGATGTGAGTAGAGGAGTGAAGAGAGTAGATGCGAGGTCAGCTTGTCTGGCTCCCAGCCAAATGACTGGAGATGGGATCTAACAGGGGAGCCATGGTAGGATTTTGAACAGGGAAGTGATGTAATGCAAAAGATATTTGTAGAAGATGGGTCCTGGCAGCTGGAAAGGCTGGACCCAGGAAATGCTAGCAACAGGACAGCTGTTGTTGTAATCCAGGTGTGAGGTGATGAGGGCCAGCCGGTACAGTGATAGCAGTCATAAAAGGAGAGCAAGGGACAAAGCCAAAAGGCAGTATTTCTCCAAGTATAGTCTGCAGTCCACCTGTCCCATCCCCAACCTAAAGAGAAGAGGAAGGCGCAGGAATTGATCACTCGAACAAGTACCTGGTGATACTGGAGTATGGAAAACCTTTACCAGGTGAAAAATCAGCATGATCTGGTAACCAGTTGAGTTGGGAAGACAGCAAAACAGCCATGAG